TTAATAGTAACCTGTGCAAATACGGTTGTAAGCAACTGAAACGAAACTACTCAGTGAAATTAATTCATATTACTCTTCATCAGTTGTTGTATTTGGATTAAATTGTCAAAAGAAAAATGACTAATTACACAATTCTTATGTAATTATTGTTTGATATTTTGAAATATTAACAATATTTACGTAAAAGAATCAAGTGATAAATAGTACTAATTGCTATTTAGTAATGTCATTTGTAACTAGTTGTAATTTGATTATACTAATGGCAAAAGTAGGAAGAGAGGCTTTTATAAATTATTATGAACTCAGAGATGAAGTTTATCAAAATAGTTGCTGATATCTTAAACTGTATGCACATCAAACCGCATATTGAGTAGAATTTGTTACATTATTCAAAAGGACTTTGTTTAAATTCATTTGGTATCCTGTGTCAATCACATTTGATATCTTTTTTTTTCTTATCAGTAAAATACACCGTATTGGAAAAAGTGATCAGATTCTGAAATCAGTTTACTTCTATTCTCAAATTTTGTTACAAGTTATGCGTCAAAAGCTGAATATATCTGTTTTCATGTTCCTTACAATAACTTAGATGTTGAATAGTTATTAGTTTCGATTATTTTATGGAAAAAAGTGATCATATTTATTTACTCTTATCTAGTGATTAAGAAAATTGAAGGGAATATAATATACAATATAGAGTAATAGTAAGTGTTCGTTGACATAATTTCAGTTATATTAAGTAAACTCTTCGTAGTACCAGAGGATACGTCTTGACCATAATTTAGATACAACCTGGGTGTTCAATGCAAAACTCATGTTTTATTCTGTCTGGGATTTATCAGTTGGACATACTTACATCTATGTTAGTCTTTCCAGTGTGACTCTAATCTTGTACCTATTATTATAAATGGTAATCATAAATATGTATGAAACACAAAATTACCCAGTTGAAAAAATGAAAAACATCACCCAAAAATTATTTATGAAAATTTAGTTATCTTTTAAAAAAAAATAAATCACTTAACTTTAAAACTCACCTTACTACTGAAACAAAATATGAGCATAGAGATACATTATATCATGAAATTTTAAGTTGGTATACCAACTGGTCAGTGACAAAGTATATCTCTAAATCACCATGGAGAGATTTCATGCTTAACATTTTATAAGTTGCATTGACCATTAAGAGTATAAGATAAAACTATGAAGCAAACAATGTCTTTAACATTTCTTCAAAGAAAGCTACCGATTTGAAATATTTAATTATCTGTTGATGTCATATCATATTAAAACAAAATACCCATCTGAGATCTTAAAAAAGCCATTTAATTATACTAATCATCCCTCTCTCTATGCAAGATACTCAACATCCATTAACACGGAGAACACCAACCCAATCACACTCGATGATGAAACTCTGGAAGATTTGGAATCCTTCACATGCCTGGGAAGCATCATCGATGAACAAGGAGGATTGACAAAGCAAGGGCCTCATTCCTACAATTGAAGAACATATGGAACTCAAAACAACTGGTAACCAGTATCAAAATCAGAATCTTCATTACGAACATCAAGACAGTTTTACTGTACGAAGCTGAAACTTGCAGAATTACTACAACCGTCATCAAGAACGTACAAGTATTTATAAATAGTTGTCTGCGCACGATACTCTACATCCATTAACCGGATACCATCAGCAACAGCCTACCGTGGGAGAGAACAAACCAGCTTCCAGCTAAAGAAGAAATTAGGAAAAGACGATGGAAATGGATAGGACATACATTACGCAAATCATCAGACTGCATCACGAGGCAAGCCCTAACATGGGATCCTGAAGGGAAGCGGAAAAGAGGAAGACCAAAGAGCACATTACGTCGGGAAATAGAAGCGGATATGAAAAGGTTGAATAACAACTGGAAAGAGTTTGAAAGGATTGCTCAGAACAGGGTTGGATGGAGGGTGCTGGTGGGTGGCCTATGCTCCACGATGAGTAACAGGCGTAAGTAAGCAAGTAAGTAAATAATCATCCCTCTCATAAAAGTACTTTTCATTCAATCATATTCTAGTGTAATAAAAACTTTTAAATACTAAAATCATTGAAGTGTTTATGTATTACATAACAACATTTGTTTACTTTATTCTTTTTTCTCTACAAATACGTAACAGGAAGTTGTTTTAACAAAATAAAAACATGTTATAATTGGTACTAATTTAAATATCAACCGGCTAGTAATGCACAATTATATATATATATATATATATATATATATATATATATATATATATATATATATATATATATAGGGGTGTATCACTGGAACAGTTCCTTTTCCAAACAGTCATTAATTCGTGTTTATATAAGTCTCAGTTACATGGTTATTCATAACAGAAAGCTTTATTGATTTAATACTACTGCATATTACCAAGAAACACTTTTCACAATCATTTCCCTATCTAAATAATCTCAATTTGTAAAATCTATTTTGCAGATGATCGAAGTTTTATGTAACCCAAATAAATACACATTGATCTCTCCCTCAGAATACATAACAGTACTTGATTAAATTTCTAGAAACAAGATTTTTCTCTGTTTTCAAGTGTTTAAATTAAGTTGCCATTTAATAACCACTAACTTCATATAATCTAGTCCTCGGTATTGATCTAATTTTATCGACCAAGTTACAATGTAGTAGTAATGATAACCAGTCATTAGAGTACTAATGAGCTATCGATATTAACTTCATATAAGATAGAGTGATATATCAAGTAAACTGAAGGTTTGAGATATTGACTTTCTAGCCGATTTCTGAACTCCTCAGGTCTTAAAATTTTGAATACCAAAGATGAACCAAAATGATAAAATATAAAAAAGCTTTACTTTTGCGTTTAGCGTACCTTAAAAAACAGAAGGTATTTATGGAGTCACGATTAACCTTGGGACTCTGGCCCATTCTAGAAAATATACTGAAATTGGAAGTATGTCAGATACTTAATAAGACACATTAACGAAAATCATAATGATTTGGTTTCTAGATATCCTTTAGAAGTTTCTGAGATTCACATACAAGATAAGCCTATACAAGCTTTTACTGGATAATAAATGAATCATTGTAGTCTTGTTGGTTACCACTATGCTTATTTAAATAACTATTCCTGAACTTTTCTGCATATGAGATTGACAGCATTGTTACAACTAATCACTTACGTGGACTACAGTCTATCTACGTAAAACCCTACTACTAATAATTGTGTTTCACTATTCACGTTCAATTATTATTTTAAATCCATTTATACAAATAGCACAGTTTTCAAAAAAGGTGATTAGTGAGATTTTTTCAGGTCACTGATGTATGTTTTCCAATGTACTAGAAAGTACTTGATTATTGAAAATTGTTCAAGATGTTAATTATCCATTAAGTGGAATGTCAAGTCTCGTAAGCAAACATGTACTCAAGGATTAACTAACTATTTTGAAGTACAGATAAAATAAAATGATATATATAGCATTTCCAAGATATCATAATTGTCAAGTTAATATTTCCGGAAAGAATTAGATGTTATACTGTTTGAATATCTTGTAAGTGCCTAGAATTTCGTTGCTTTCGTGTTAAATTTTACATATTTTATACAAGTATTTTCTTCTAACTTGATAAATGTTTACAAAATAAAAAAATGGTTGCTTATTATTCTTTAACAGACAGCTTGTAAAGAAGTCTTATAAATGTTCATGGTGATGCATAAAAGTCATCTTATTCGTAACTTATCAGATATACAGATTTATACATCTAGTGATATTATAAGTGGAATAGAAACTCATCAATTGTCACTCGAAACTTCTGAACGTCATCAACTCCAGTGTCACCTTGTCATTGTCAGTAGATATGTGGCATTCATAACGCTATTACATTCATAGTGTCAAGTATTTCAAAATATGAACTGATTGATGACGGGTTGTAGCACCGATGGCAGTACATTTACACAACTAATGATGCAAAAAAGAAACGAATATTCTAAATTCTTCTATTCACTATCACCAAACGTTTTCAATGTTCTATGTTCAGATTCCTAAGAATTCAGCAGAATACTACTATTTAGATAATCAACGATGAATAGTTTGTAAGTGCTTTTGACATTTTTATGACAAGATCAAATCGACAATTAAACAATAAATGTACGTACATTTACATCAAGATGCAATTATGCATTATTTATACAGTAGCATTCATCAAGTACTTTATGGCTTAAATAAAACCTCTTTAACTGTCAAGTTTTTACATTCAGTAGATACAATATTGAACTGGTAGATGAAATAAAGAACTGGTAGATGAAATAAAGAACACTATCTTGTAAACTAGAGTTTTCATTTTAATTATTTTATCTTTGTTACAGTCATTAAATTGTTGGTAAAGATCAAAATATTATAATTATCCTCGATAGTATATTACACGAGTCTTATTATTTAAAACAACCCTGTAATTTCAAGCAAAAATGGATGGCGGCCAATAATGGAATCCAGGACGCGTGTTTAGTCATATTTGGTATGCGTCAGCTGGATATACCTGTATCCTAGAGTTGATATTCTTTCCGGGACTTGATCAATCGCAGCCCTAAATATCAATAGGTAGATTCAAACAAACAATACAAAAATGAATAAAAATCTAGCGATTTGTTGAATTTGATAAATCAGACATGATTTTCTGAAAAACTAATTAATTGTTTTGTTGATTAACGAACAAGTATCCAAGTTATATTTATTGAACTAATCTAGGAACATATAAACATATGATTTAATTGACTTCGGTATTATCTGAAAAAATATTCGGAAATATAAACATTAGGTATATCAACTGATTTACAAGTTTATCACTAATAGTCAGTATATAAATTATTAGTTGTCTGTTATACAGCAAGTTGTTTACAACGGTTAATGGTACCTCACATCTTCATAAGTTGTTTCCCACTCATTTACTCTCTCTCTTTCTGTCTGTCTGTCTCCATCCGCGTTATTGTCTAATATGGCGTGATTCCTACTTAGTCAATTATAATATAAAGGCTTAAGTATGATAGTTTTATTAGACATTAATTATTTATTAGTAAACTTACACTGTAATATGAAATTCATCTTAGTTTTAAGCTTATTAGTCCTTGTAACATTAGTTTATGTTGAGTAAGTTTTATTTATATAACTGTATCATAATAATTAATTCTATTAAGGCAAAATTTAATTGTTTTAATGACATTAATTGTATGTTGATCGCATTTAAGAAGCTAATTAGTTTAACAACAGTTTTTAGTATCCACTTTTTGTTATAATTTGATGAATGATACATTTAGTTCTTTTTACTTCAGGTCTTATTATTCATCTCGTACATTTAAACTAAATATGAGGACATAAATATTCAATAAAAGTCTAAGTAGATCAATTTATTGCATAATTTGAGACATCGGAAATTGATCAAGTTGGTTGTTAAGGTAGTCACTATGAAGAGAACATTCATTCGTCACATGGAAATGAGATTAAGCTTATGATCGTCAGATCTAACAATGGGCAAGGCACATTCGGTCTACCGAGTTTGAACTTAATGTCCACGTTCTCACCTGTATATAGTTTACCTTATTACCTAGATTTCAGCCAACGTCAACAGTGATCACTGATTTCTAGCAGCGCTTTGAAAGTTCGTTTCAAAGTTTTTAGTAACTAACTCTGAGTTTATAATAACAGAAGTATGTGGAAATTGCGATTAATCAGTAATTTTGTGAAAACATTAACAACTTCTTTCATTAAGTCAAAGATTTTTAAATATGAAGATGTACCATAGTTTCATAGAATCTCAAGGAAATCACTCACGTACATGCAAATAACCGATCAGATTGGAAAATTTAAGTAAAATAATGGTATTAATACTATATGAGTAAGAATAAAAAGTTGTTTGAATAGATATATATGCAGATCATACAGAATTTCTACATTTTGGTATATATGTATACGTTAGCGTCTGAAACATGAATAAAGAATTACTTACAAATGTCATAGACTATTCGTTAAAATTGCAAGTTCAAAATATGATAACAAAACATTGTTGACTGTACTGTTGAGTTGCAATGTGTAAATATCTATTTAGCGTAGAATAGTTCTTTGTCAGCTATTCAAATTATATTATTTTATGAATAGTGTATCTGACGAAGATTTCAATATTTAACTATATTAGTAACAATAATCGTCTTACATGTGGTCAAGCTGCTGATGAAAGAGAATATACATGTATTTAAAAGTCTGTGATTCTAATCATCTTGGTTACATGTTCAATACCGTTTCATAAAAATAATAATTATTATGATCGATGACAGAGATAAACCACTCAAACTTTAATTTCTTTACACTGACCTTAATCATAGAATTGATGATTAGCCTTTTATTAGTATTATTATCTGTTTTCTGTTGACATCATTTTTGAATTGTAAAATTCAAACAGATCATCACAATGACTGAGTGACGACTTAAGTAAGATCACAAGCGCTTTTCTAAACATTAAACTCATATTAGGGACCAAAAATCTCAGTTGAAACTTCTACTTAGAACATATTTATATAACAGGAAATGTTAAAAGTACTGTTATCATTATAGAATGGCATAAGGTAGAGAATGATTGAAGCATCAGGAACAATATACAGCTATATTCTTCCTGTTTTGAAACTTGTTAATAAATAACATAAACCGTGTCCAATAGGATCGAGCTAAGGATCCTTAGGTTCAATGAGTATTATTTTACCTCTAGACCGTTGAGTGCGAATTTTTAATGCTTTAAAATAAAAAAAAACACATAGCATAACTCTCGATCCGTCTCACTTTCAAAGTAAGCATTTTTCTTAAACATTTAATCTTGATCCTGTTCATTTTATTGAAAAGAAAATCGGAAGTTTGCATAAATTAACTTACACACTTTTTGTTTTTACTTATATATTACTATCAGAGCAAGACCTGAAGGTGATGAATTGCTACTGGTAAGTTAATCGATTTATTTACTTAAAACTTATTATTAGCGAAAAATGCTATTGGATACTGCTGATAAACTCAAAATGTTAACATTAAAACATTTAGCAATATTTCGTAATAAAGTTCAAAATTATTTCAGGGAAGATGGTTTAGGTGAGAAAATAGCAGAAGTTTTACTTGTTTGTAAGTTAAATGAATTAAAAAATTATTTATTTTTGTAAAATTTTAGTCATGAAACGTTTGAATAGACGCTTAGAAAATTGTTTAAAATCATCTAATTTAGAATAAAAAAACTTATAACAATGTTTTACCATTTGGGATGTATTTAAAAAAAAAACAAAAAAAGAACAAAAAGAACAAAAAAAGAAACAAGAAACAATAATCAATATATATATATATATTTCATTATAAACTAAACTATCCATAATGAAAGAATTAACAGTTAGCAACGAAAAGTAAACAATATAGGAACTATTGATGAATCTTTTGTTATTTTTACTTGTATACAATTTGATGTTTCAATATTATTATTTAAATGTTTAATAAAGAGAAATAGTTTAGCTAAAGAATGTTATATAATTAAGAAATATACTATCAACAGTAGTTGGTCTCATACTTTTACTTATAAACATAGTTTTATATTGAAAATTAAGAATAATTTATTAAACAAATAATCTGTGATCAGTGGAGTTAATCCATGTCGGGTAGAGACAAGTATCTACCTCAGTATAATGGAAGATGTTTGGGCAATTTCGTGGATTGGTTGAGATTAAATAGTAACACCATTGGATGCCAGCTCAGTGGTCTAGAGGTTAGGCGTTCGAACACCACGAGCGGGATCATAGATGCGCATTGCTGAGTTGTCTCATAATAGGACGAAACGACCGTTTAGTGCTTTTAGGTTTGTAATGGTATATTGTAATTATTGAAAATATGAGGGATAGTATAACCTATAAAGTGTTGCATGTTATGATATCAACCTTTGAGTATAAAAAAATCTAAACTAAAATGAAATAAACGAGTTTAAAATAATAGAAAATTGTTTGTAAACATATAAAGGATGGTTAAATTTTTTAGGATCACTGCCTAAACAATTAGATCTTTTTTAATAAAAATATCTTGACTGATAGACTGATATTTAATGACGCTTAGCGATCAAAAATGACAAAGATTAGTGTTATAGCTTCTTTTCGATCAATAATCGTCACTGTTCAACAACAGTATTCTAATTTCAGATTTATTTCAGTTACTAAGATCTGTAATGATTGTAGTATAAATTTGTAAGGGAATTTCAAACTTTCATTATAGTGCATCTATTCACGTATTCGTGTCTTAGTTCTACTGAATCAAGATTATAGATTGAAAGTACTTTACTGATGATTGATTATTTTTTATCTAATATGGCTTTAAATAATTATTCAAGCTATCTCCGTCAAAATTAATTACATTCTCATGGTCATTATGAAATATTTTAGACGTAGTAGCTAAAATCCATTACCGGCAACTAACGTGATTGTCAGAGACATAAAAATCAACTTTGAAGAGATAACTATACTTAGACTTTAATCTTTTGTAGTTTATTGTAAGCTATCAAAGCATAATTACCTTAATGAATATCTTTTTCTAAATTTTATGATAATATAAACATTTTAAAATTTATCAGAATGACTTTTTTTGGCGATTATTCAAATCGATGTTAATTTACAGTATGAACTGAATTTAACTATAAAACATCCTAAGATGAAATGATTTTTCAGTATCTCTACCCGCATACATCTCGTGATGTCAACTTTTAATATTGTTTACTTCAAAATGTTGTCCGAATTCTAGAAATCAAGTGTGTATTGTCACTTTTCAATTAAATTGTAGTATATTGTGTTTGATATTTAATGGATTTAAAGTAATTGAAACTAAGACACTGAAATAAGTTTACAGCATATCAGTAAAGGAATGTTAATGTCTATGACTTTGAATATGCTTAATAGATAGTTTTGCGCTTAAAGTACATAATTTAAGTATATGTTGGAATCAGTTTTGGAAGGTACAACAGAGCCTAAGATTTACATCAGCTTTCCATTTGGTTATCTAAATTCCTGTTCGGTAGTCTTTTTTTCAAATAAAGAATACTTTTCATGGTTACTTGTGAATCCAAACGATGTTACGATCCAATAGTATTTATATTTTGCTGACATTTGATTATATATCAATTTGAATCATACTTATTAGATTTTAGTTGGGTGTTTTATTCAAATTCTGTAGTCTTTTCATTTCTCTGACGATTTGTGTAAATTAAAGAATTTAATATTTGTTTTTTTATTCCTTTTCAACCTTTTCCTTGTTTCACATAAAATGTTACCTCGACAAGTAAGTAAAATGTATTACTTGTCAAATTCACCTGAAACTTGGATGGTATATGATGACTTATTTCCTTACTTATTTTTAATTGAAAAGGTTCAGGCCCATTTCTCTTTCTAATATATAACAAAAAGTGACTTGTTTAAAAATATTTTTTTATGCGACCATCAAAAATTAAAAAAAATCCAAAGTTTTCTGATTCATATAAACGGGTTTCTCACTAGTTTATGGCCTCTAGATCCATATGAGATTTAAATTTATGATATTAATTTCCTGATTAAACATAATATCAGTAAATCATTGGATGTAGATTACTGTCTGGAATCGTCAAAGCAGAAATGACTAGTAATTTAGTATAATAATTACCCAATGCTATCAGTTAATATTCGTTTTCAGATAAGTTAACCTTGTTAGTTAATATTGAATATTTAAATTAAGTCATTTGTGAGGAATCCACGATAAGTTAACAAGAATATCCTGATTGCATGTGCAGCCACAAGAGAGATATCTTCCTGAAATTCACTCAGAGTGTCTACGGATGACGGATATTGATTATAGAATTTGTCGACAATCAGTATCTGTTATTTAAAAGACGCCAATATTCCGAAATTTAAACTCTTGATTCTTAATAAATCTGTTCAGAGAGACTCCAGTAATACGCATGTATCACATACACAGATTATTGAAATCAGAAACTGAAGGTTTATTGACAAACACCCGTCAGTTTAACTAATTATCCAGAATTTGATAGTTCACATTCTCAACTTTAGTCATTTATTTCAAGCGAGTTTCATTCAACACTGTCAGTGAGTTAGCGTTTCCCCCTCAACCTGGTTAGCTTCATTGATGACAAGTTAACGATAGAAATTCGGGAATTCTGTTTTCAAGTTATACAATAATAACTACGTCAACTCGTTACCAAAATGTAACAACAGAATATATTTTCGTGTATTGAACAGCCGCGACCAATTTTAATAAAAATAAGCTTGAAGTATGCAAACTACGTAATTATGAAATATTAATATTTGAATCTTTTGTTAAAATTACAATCCTAGCCTAGTCAAAGTTATCGTTTTGGAGCAGAATCAGCTAATCGAATCGATTCAGAAATTCAAGTTAGCATTGATTTGCCTTAACAAGAGAACGTTTTTCTAATCAAAAGCCTAAAGATAATCTGTAACAGTCCTGGAAGGACTTAACAAATAAGAATACCACATTTTGATTAGGTGCATAGTGAAATCACTTTGTTTAGTAAGCATTAGGCGATTTGGCTTTGCTTACAACGCATTGTTAAAGATATCAGATAGGTTAACTGAACTATACCTAGGGTTTGAGTAAACTGATCTGAGTAAATGATCGATTTATCGAATAAAAATTTCTCAATCCTATTCCTCATTTTCAAATATATGACGTGGGTGTTTGGGGGACGTCATTATTATTTTCACACTACTCTTGCAGCATTATGTGTAAAGAAACAGTGATCAACGTAGAATCATCCCCAGATACAAGCAATCTTACTAGTCTGATGTCTCATACTAAGTGAATTTCATTTCATAGATAATGAAGAGTATTTGTAAATTAGTATTCACTCTTTCTAGTAAAAGCTAAAGTTTCACATTAAATAGTTTGTTTACTGTAACTTTAAACAGAATGAGAGAATTACTTATCAAGTGTATTTGTATTAGGTGATTAAATCTTAATTCAATCGGCTAGTCCTCCGGTGTATGAATTACTCCTCATAACTTTTGAATTCCATGCGGCTGGTTAGATATTTCAAAATTACACATAAAAGTAGCCATTAGTGAGATTATTAAGAATTGTTTATAGGAAAAAAACGAGGATTTATGGAGCGTGAAATTAAATTTAGCATATTATTTCAGAAAGTTAAAGGAACCTAACTATTTTAATTTCTTAATATTGAGCAAACAAGCCGTTCGACTGGAATTTTCTTAAAAATTCAGCCATCAGATGACAGGTCTCAAACATGGATTTTTATGACATTTGATGATTTTAAAGAGTGTATCAATTTTATTTTGATAATAAGGTCATTGATCATTATCTTCAGGTGAAACTAGCAGATGTCTTTGATTAAAACGAGTGTGTTTTAAATATGCAGAGATGACTAAATTTTATAATCAGAAACATTTTACTCGCAAATTGTTTGCTTGTTGGAGTCAACTTACATTTGACAAAGAGTTTTCATGCGTGTACTTCATTTCTGGTCCAAACTGAGATGTCAACTAACAGATGATAAAATAGTCAGCGTTACACATTTTGACATGCAAAACTGATTTATAACTATTAAGTATAAGGGAATAACTGCGCTGTTGCAATAATCTCATTGATTATCTGGTATTGCTAACTCTGTTTATTACGTTAATGTTATAACTTGAGACTGCCGATTCGAGAGCAGTGAATTACCGATTCAATCAATGACGCGTACAACCCGTACGAGCAGTCTAGAGTCTTTATTGGTCTCGCTTCCTGCCTAGCCCAGCCAGTTAAGTCCAGAACACTAATGCTAACCTCTGAGATATGAATCATGTATTTCAAACGTACTCGGTTTACATACCAATCAAACAGACCACAACGTAGCATAAAATAGAAAATAACATTTGTACAAAATTTGGCCAATTGTGGCTGTGAATGTGGGAGGTAATGATTAACAGACAGGGAATAGTTCAAGAATGGTAAAACGTATAATAACGGTTCATAGGTTAAAATAAAGCTTATGATAAGAGAGACATGAATATGAATAGTTTAGTTATTTAACAATTATACAATAAAATTATACGTATAGTATTGGTCTACAAATGGATCCCAAAAATTACCACTCATTATTCTCATCGGGGCACAACAGTTAAATATGGTAGTTTTATTATTAAACATTTCATATCTGATGTAGTATATGAATTCATGTGGTCCTTTGATAAATATTTTCTCATCTGTCGAACAGATGGTAAAATATAGTCGCCATTAAGTTTATTTTTATTTTGATATTACTACATGTGATCAGTTGATTACCTGATGCATTCTTCTAAGATGATCTGTTAAATGTTTTATTCCTCTGACTTCAAAGCAAATTAACAAACCCAAATGTATCTACGTAGCATTTAGTTAAAATATTACATCAATCAAAAACATATAAATTTCGTTATTACTGATAATTTCAACTTTACCGTTGATTAAAAGTATATTTTACGCTCAAACGACAGTTCCAAAGATTTAATCAATTTCATTGTTTGATTACTT